GGAGTGCTGGACTGGCTCAGGGGGAGTTCTGACAGGCTGAGCGATGAGACCCTGTGATGCACCGAGGCCAGGTCATGCCAGCTCATGAGAGAAAAGATAGGTGTGACACTTTATATCCCACTCAGAGCTAGGAGGATTTCAACCAGAGATTTATAAACACTGCATATCAGAGTTTGTTTTTCCTACAAAGCTGGTTGCTCTGTGTTCTCTAGCTCATCCTTGCAGTTGGGTTCAGCTCCTCTTTTTTCGCAGTGCTTAGACTTCCTCCAAGCATTGTATCTGGGCTTCAAAGGCACCAGCATTCTTAGCATATGTGGGGTGTTGAAAAAAAAAATCATACACCAAGTGACTTATAAACAACAGAAATACATTTCTCAGTGTTCTCGAGAGTGAGAAGTCCAAATCAAGGTGCCAACAGATTTGGTGTCTGGTAAAGACCAGCTTCTAGGTTCATAGAGGGCATCTTCTCACTACTTCCTCACCTGAGGGAAGGAATGAAGGAGCTCTCTGAGACCTCTTCATCGGGGGTACCGATCCTATTCATGAGGACTCCACCCTCCCGACCTCATCATCCCCCAGAAAGCCCTACCTTTTCATGCTATCACCAGGGGAGGGATTTCAACATACGAATTTCAGAGGGACAAAAACATTCAGGCTGCAGCACCATCCAATACAGAGGAAGCGAAAGATAAAAACTTCTCATGACTTTAGCCCAACAAATGGCATGGTGCTAAGTCAGGTGTGTTCAACTGGTCAACATGTCACCCGACCTAGATTCAACAGGAGAGAATTTCACCTCCATTCTTATGTGAAAAGAGTCAGGGATTTAGGGCCACCTTTTAAAACAGTTCAAGGAAGTTATTCCTTCATGGTTTATTGTAAAATTGCTGCAGACAACGACACCTGACACATAGAAAACCTGAGAGAGGCAGCTAGAAAAAGCAGATAAATTGCAGGGAGCTTGGATTTCCTGCCTGTCTCAGCTGGATCTGCAGGCCCGGGAGTCTCTGTGTGGCACAGGCTGCACCATGATCCTCCCTGCAGGAGAGTGGACAAACGGATGCGGGGAGGGACAGGACGGTGCTCTCTGAGGAGCTGCAATGTGGCCAGTCCTCCTCAGAGCTCATCCCCATGCAAACGCTCTGCCTCATGCTAACATACATGCTGTGTTCCATGACTGCCCTTCTCTACCGGGTCACAACCAGGTCTCAGGGGCCTGCCCAAGGTCCACACACACTATCTGCTGGGGCCACCAGACAGCCTCAGCGTGTGTGGGAATATCCTTGCTGCTCCGGAGGCCTCTCTCCTCTCAGGTCTGCACCTGCACCCTCACCCACAGCTTCCCCAGAATATTTCCTCCAATCCAGTGATGTCAAGGCTCTTATGGAGAGTTCAGACTCACTTCAATGTTTCTTGTATGTGTATGGAAGAAGAGCTTAAGCCATGTCTACTGTCACTGGGTGTTGACACTGGTAGAGAGAATAGGAAAATTGGACTGGGGGTGGGGACTGAGGATAAACATGGAAGAAAAAGTGTTGCAAAGACTTTAGGCAAAACTCCTGCTTGCTTAAACTCTAGAGTTCTGCGAAGGTTCTGGGGCACTCCAAAAGGAAATGTGAAAGGGACTGCATGAGAAGAATCTCTGTGTTATTCAGGATGAAAGTTTGAAAGCCACTGGACAAGGAACAGGTGCAACCTCAACACAGGCTGGGAAAGGAGTACCACGCACTAGCTGGGAGTGCTCACCACTGCAGCCAAGCCTGGGAGGGAAGGACATCAGGACACCAGGTTAGGGGTGAAGAAGGCAGAACCAGGAGCCACCACTGACTCGGAGCCACCACTGACTCAGAGCCACTTGCAGCACATTCTGTGCTCCCTGAACTCCTGAAATCACTCTGGGTGCTGCTGGTATGGCTGCTGCTGAACCAGACACACAAGAGCTGTCAGGTTGTGCAACAGCAGCAGTAAACGGAACTCCCAGAACCCACATCACTTCTTGTGTGACCACTTGGGAAGGCCACCAACACCAGCATGGCCACTACCTCAGACAACAGTGCCCCTGCCCAAGAGACCATCCAGGGAGATATCAGCTTCACTGGAACCAGACACGTCAATGAATCTTGTTATTTTTCAACTTACATTTTAGATTCCTGGGTCCATGTTCAGGTTTGCTATATGCAGGGTGGATCTATAGGGCAATGTTGAGGGTTTGGGTACAATTTATCCAATCACCCAGATAGAAAGCATACTACACAATAGACAGGCCTGCAACATTTGCCCTCCTCCATCCCTGTTCCCTCTCCCAGTCCCTGCTGCCTATTCTTCCCACGTTTATGTGTATGAGTCCATGAGTACCCGCTGTGTTGCTCCCACTTATAAGTGAGATCATGCTATATCTGGTTTCCTGCTCCTGCGTTAATTCACTAAGGATAATGGCTTCCAGCTGCATCCATCTTTCTGCAAACAACACAATTTCATTCTCTCTTATGACTGTAGCATTCCATGATGTATATGTGCCACATTTTCTTCATCCAATCCACCACGGATGGGCATGTAGGTTGATTCCATGCCTTTGTTATCATGAATGATGCTCGCATGAACATACGGGTGCGTGTGTCTTTTAGGCAGAATGATTTGTTTTCCTTTGGATATATACCCAGTAGTGGGATTGTTCAGTGGAATGAGAGTTCTCTGTTAAGTTATTTGGCAAATTTCTAAACTGCTTGCCACTGTGCCTGAAATCCTTATCACTCCCCCAATAGTGTATAAGCCTTCTCTTCTCTATGCAGTCCTGCCAATATCTGTTATTTATTTGAATTTTAATTACAGCCATTCTGACTAGTGTGAGTTAGTATCTCTTTGAGATTTTAAATTGCATTTCTCTAATGATCAGTAATGTAAAGCATATTTTCCTTTTTTTTTTTTTTTTTTTGGCCTTTTGTAGTCTTTTTTTGAGACATATCTGTTCATGCCCAGGCATACATTTTAAAGGGGTTATTTCTTTTTTGCTTACTTATCTCTTTAAGTCCCTTGTAGAGGAAAATCACTTCGACCATGAAGTCACCACCAAACAGCCTCTCCTTACTGCTGCAGGTACGGATCTCGCTATCCCCAAGACACGCCACTGACTCATGTCCAGTAACCAAACCCTTGCCTTTCAGCTTCCTTTACCTTGTGCTTTGCTGGGTACCCCAAGGTTGACATCATTGAGTGGAATTTTGCTGAGATCACCATTTGCCTTCAGTGTAATCCCATTACTTTATGGTGCAAGGAACTTAGAGAGTCTCAGTCAAATTTTAAGGCTGCCCTAGAAGCTATGCAAAAACTATGAACTTGGGGGACCTGTGTGTAACAACCCCATGCCCAAATCTAACCAACTCTTCAGTGATAACCCTCATGCAGTGCTGGGGAAATGCCTATGGACTGGAGTGTGTTCTGTGTAGAGGAAGCAAGTCCAGGTTTCACTTCTAAAGGACATGAAGGCATTACCAGAACTCAGAGATCTTCCTCATGTGCATATACACCACTTCATATTTTGCCCTATAACCTTGTCACTAGGCCCCTACAGGCACCTGCTAATGCCCTAGAACCTAAAACCTTCACCTGGGCCTCAGTTTCCCCAAACAGCCCGACTTTCTTTTTCTGCTGGGATGAGACTGTTGCTGACTTCCTCCAATGCTGAAGTTCCTGGGGCTGTCACACATCAGGAGCTCACTGCTTCCTCAAGAGACAGCCAACCCCACTGCTCTGCCACAGCGACCACCCCCACAAGGCTTGAGACACCTCTTCCTTCATTAAGATTGAGGGAGATGCTTCAGCTGTCACTCCACTGCCCCCAGTCCACCACAGCCCAATACCTGCTTCCTTCACACAGAGCTTCAGGGGAGGCCATGAGTGCCCAGCCTGCTGGACCGGCGCTGTACACGACCCTCCCATGGTGACAGGGGCTTCCCGGCCTGCACACTGGGTTCAGCAACCTCACCTTAGGTATTTATTCCCTCAGGAGTGACTGATTCTTTTCTCATTTTCAGAAACCTTATTCCACCTACCTCACTATGAGAAAGAGACTGAGGGTAATGAGTGGTATATTTAAAACGTAAACGAGTCTCCCTAGGACTTCTCAAACAACACAGGAGGGACCAGAGGAGCTGAAGCCCGCATATCTCAAGCACTCAGTGATCGTCCCACTCATGCTGTGTGTATGGAGACTCATAAGCCTGCCCAGAATTGGCTACGGAACAAGGTATTTGAGCACACAGCACCAGGTGATGCAAGCTAACACCCATCTCGCTGCCACCTTGGCCGCCTCCCTGAGAGATTTCCAAGAGACATTAGGTCTCAAGCAGCAAACTCAGGAGTCCTTGGACCCGATGGTCCTAGACACTCGTTTAGCCTTAAACTGTCCATTGCCCAAGCAATGAGGCAACTGTCCGCTCCAGGGAACCACATGCTGTGTGCACATCCTTAACGAACCCAACAGAACCTGCCCTGCCTGGAAACACAAGCCGAGGTGATATTCAGTCTCAACCAGGTGGTCTGCAACATCCCAGCCCAGCCATCGGCTTTGATGTTTTGTTATGGTGAGAGCACAGGTACTGGGGAGGCTGGTTCAGGCAAGATTCCTAATCCTTTCCTGTGCATGGGTGTCAATTAGGTCAGGTCCTTGTCTCGCTAACAGAGCGTATCCTGTGAGATGCAGGCCAGGCTCTCTTGGGGGCTTTAAATATTCCCTTGATGCAGCGAGCTCAGCCTCAGCCACCAGCACAGGCATCTCGGGGTCCATTGTCTTAGGAGTCATGGGGAATCCATCGTTGGTTGCTGCCTGGGCCTGGCCAGGGCTGAACTGACCAAGGAAGATAAGGGGAGCCTCCCTGGACTCCTGTGTGAACCCAGGCTTCCCACCAAATTTCTCAACTGTCCTTGCCAAAAGAGTTATTTAATGTACCCAACGGAAAGTAACCCAGGATATTAGGACACCTGATCCCAAATGACACTTAAATAGGGAAGTCCTCTCCTGTTTGTGCACAACTGCCCTTGCTACAGGAGAACTGGGACAGAGGACTGCTGTCTGCCCTCTCTGGTCACTCTGCGTAGCACAAGGATCTGTAAGTAACAGAAACCTTAAACTTTCCCATTGAGGTTTCAACATGGAAGCTGTGTCCCCAGTCTGACCTGTGACTCCTGGGCCACCCCAGAGGGACCTAGTGGGTGAATTCCCTGCTGTGCTTTTCTGTCTGAACCTCTGGTGGCTGCTGGGAGCATTGGCTACCAGCTCAGTTAATAGAGAAACTCAAGGAATTTCTGTCTAAATACACATGTCCTACTTGACATGTCCAATAGAGCAACAGTAGCTCCTTAAAACATTCTTTGATGTGGAGAAAAGCCCATCCTGCTCCTCAGCCTATTTTTCAATCAGGTTATTTGTTATTTGCTATTGAGTTGTTTGACTTCCTTATGTATTTGGATATTTACCCTTTCTAGCATTTAGGGTTTGCAGTCATTGTCTTTCATTTTCTGGGTTGCTTTTTCATTCAGTTGTTTGTTGTTTTGTTTTTTGACGTGCAGATGCTTTAGCGGTCAACACAACTCCACTTGACTATTTTCCCTTTTATTGCCTGTGTCTTTGATGTCATAGCAAAGATATCATTACCAATATCAATGTCAAAGTGTTATCTTCATATGTTCCTCTCATTATTTTATGGTTTCAGGTCTATGTTTGGGTCTTCGATCTATTTTGAGTTGATTTGTGTATATAGTATACAATAAAGGACCACACGTATACAAATGTCAAATCCTAAGGTGGTATACAGTAGATATAAATCATTTTCAATTTTTATTCATATCTCAATGGAGCTGGAAAAATAAATTTTTGGGTGTAGACGAACTTTTTACCTCGATATCACTGTGTTCATTTCACCTATCGTATGGTAGGGTCATTGTCCTCTTCACACTGGCCCCTACAGGAGGCTACTCACCCCATGCCTTCATGAGACTGGTCATGCCCTTGATGCCTGCAATAAATGACCCTTCACTTGATAGGAATTCATGCCTGCTGCCAGAGTGTAGACCTATAGAGAGTCGTGGGGCCATCTGAAGGAAAGGAGACATTTGTATCCTGAACTTACTGAACAAAGCACTGCTGTTATCCTTTGGTAGAACAGTAAAAAGTAAATATGTAATGAAGTGAGAAACAGGAGAAAGATGCCAGGTTCCTCATCTTCACCATCCTCTCCATCAGCACAGACACTAAACATAGAGATTCAAACTAGAGTGAAAGCTGGGAGAGCCAAGGAAGAAAACATGGACATTGAGACCAATGGGATCCCACACAATCTCCAGTGAAATGCACACCTCCTCTCTCTGAGAAGGTTCAAGGTTTCCTGTCTCTGAGCCTTCTCTCTGCAGACATAGAAATCCAGGCTAACTCCTCTCTCCCGACTTGTCTGCTCCTGCTCTTCCTCCTCCAGGTCACTCCAGCCATGAGGACCTTTGCCCTCCTCACTGCCATGCTTCTCCTGGTGGCCCTGCACGCTCAGGCAGAGGCACGTCAGGCAAGAGCTGATGAAGCTGCCGCCCAGCAGCAGCCTGGAGCAGATGATCAGGGAATGGCTCACTCCTTTACATGGCCTGAAAACGCCGCTCTTCCGCTTTCAGGTGAGACAGGCTGGCACGCAGAGCTGCAGGGTCTAGAGGGATGGATGGGAGACAGAGTCGGGAATCGAGTCTCAGTGGTCCATGTCACCTAGATGGCTTCATTTAGCATCTCTGGGCCTTGGTTTTCTCATCTATAAACTGAATAGAGAGCCAAATAAATCTAACAGGTTTTCTGTCTTTAAAGACTTGAGGCAGCTCTGCCTGGAGAGTAACAATCCTTTTATTCCTTTACTTCCTTAATGATCCTTTCACTTTAGAAAATCAATAAAATTAAATAATAAAACTTGAAATGAAGATATGTCTGGGAAATTCAGTAGGTTTAAGATATAAATAGACAGTCTGACTAGTTCTTTCTGGAATCATACAAGTAGACTTCACTATAAGGAGAACATTTTACTGTATCTATAGAATACTTTTTGAAAAGCAGAGCCAAGCCTAAGAGTGTGTTCAGGTGTGTGTGTGTGATGGGGCAGAGGCACAAAAATGAGAGCAAATGAGAATAAGTCTCAGACACTGCATGGCCGGCACTGCTCTGTGTATTTATTCCTATTGACTGAGGTTGTTCATGCTACCGGCCCTAATGCAGCCAACATCATTCCTCAGCTAGCACGTGACTTCTCCAGAATTCCCTTTACCACCCACTGCAGACCTTCTGATCCATTTATGATGCTCTCTTTGTGTCCCCAGAGTCAGAGAGAGGCTTGAGGTGCATTTGCGTACTAGGAATTTGCCGTCTGTTATAACGGCATTTGCGGTCCTGCGACTTTTGTGGTTGACTCTATCGGATCTGTTGCCGCTGAGCTTGCAGAATCAAGAAAAACAAGCTCAGAAGTTACTTTGAGAGTTAAAAGAAATTCTTGTTACTCCTCTACCTTGCCCTAAATTTCCTTTTCTCATCCCAAATAAATACCTTCTCGCAAGATTTCTGTCTTTACATCTCTTTCACATTTGATGTGTCTTTGTGTCTCAAGATACTTGGGATGCACCTTCCAGAATCCTAGGATTTTAAACAAAACAAAATTCCAAATTCTAGGAATTTCAAGCAGGAGTTTGGGCTTCAGACTCAAATGGAAATGAAGGCCCAAATCACACCACCAATCTCCCATCCACTGCTCTGTCTTTTCACTCTGCCTCATTGGCTCAGGATCCACTCTCAAAGAGCTCCCGTGTGCTGGGCAAACAATCATTGTCAGTTTAAAGTTCATGCAGTCACAAAATCATTCCACCTCAGGAGAAACCAGCATGGTGTGTGCTAAAGAATTGGAGTTTAATCAAACGTGTTCAAGTCACACATTTGCCTTTTAAGACATAGGGTTACAGGAGATTCACTGAAACAACTTTAAGAGGGAAATGAGTTGTTAGCAAAGGCGGGATTAATGGTACAGAAAGCGCAGCAGCCCACACCAGGATGTCCTCATTAAGAGCATCCTCCAGCCACATCTACTAAGACCTGGATTTCACACCCATAAAGTCATCTTCACACCCAGAAAATACAGACGCACAAATGCTCCACTGCACTTTGCAACACGCATGCTCTTGTGTTGCCTTAACACCTCTGAGAACCTGATTCTGCCTGGAAAACACAGCTTCAGAGGAGATAAGGGATGTGGGAGGGAAAGCGATTCACCAGGAACACGGCAGCCTTCTTGTTTCTGCAGGGTGCTGAGGCAGCTCAGGGTTCCTGGCACCCCACTGAGACACCGCATGGATGGGGAAGCCCATGCAGAACTCAGGGAGGACAGAGTGGGTGCCAACCTCCAGTGCATTTCCTCTAGCTCACCGAGGGTTTAACCTTTCCTGCCTTTGTCTTCAGGGAAGTTGATGCCAATGGCTCTCCCTACTGCAACAGTCTGATTCCTATTTCACCATCTTCAATAAGCGCTTCCTTCACATTTCTAAAACGTCTTGGTGAATTTTTTTTTGTACAATAAATGAAATAGGTTTCTTTTGTTATTTCTTTTCTTATTTTCTAAACTCGGCTACAAGCAAACCCAGAAGGAAAGAGATCTGAAAAGTACTCATTCTGTTTTAGGAATATCTGAATTTTTTCCTTTTTCACTAAGAAACAAACAACTCGTGAAGAACCTAAGGGAAAGAGCTCACTCTAACATTTCCTCTCAGTCAGCCTCCCAACCTCTCAATGCTGTATCCTCCTGGCTGACAGTGACCCCCACCTATGTTCCAGCCCTCCACCCCATGGTCCTGCCACTACTTGGAATTCCTCCATCTCTCAATCTCAAGTATGAAGGTCCCAGTCGCTGAGTCACCGGATCTCCTTCCAGCCTCTCCCATAGCTGTCCTCCGTCCCTGCTGATCAGAACCAGTAAGGCTGTTCTCCCACAGAAATGTGCATGGGAATCATCCGGGAGTCTGTTCCCCAGGCTGCACCCGGGACACCTGTCATCTGCCCTCATTTCCTCTTCTTATGCACTGTACCGTCTTTAACTCAGATTCTCTGAGCTAGGTAACGTTTCTATATCATTTTCAGGCATATTAGTTGAGTTTTGCATTCAAGTTTAAGAAACCACAACAAGCTGAGTTAACATTTTCACTGCCACACCTGAAAATTAAGAAAGAATTCTGGCTTCATAAAGTCTCTCATTGAAGGACTCAAAGCGTAAGTGATCTTGTTGTCTTTACCTGTTATTCCCCCATTTCTCTCTTGATCTTAACTTGGGTTCTCTCCCCAGGTGGCAGCCATGTGAATTGTGGTTATCTCCCCACGGCCTCCGTTGCTGATCTCAGGGAGAAAACCCCTACTTCTCTCTCCATTGTTTCAGCCAACTCCCGAGTCCCATGCCCTCCTCTGAGTCTGTCACTGAGGGGAGAGGTTGAGACTCCACGTGGATCCCACACTACCCCTGCTCCACACAGGAAAAATTCAATCTAAGAATGGGAGAGGAGGGTTTCTCAGTCACTCCATAGAGTTCACAATTCCACGCCCCCACCACAATGGGCTCTGTGACACTTTGAGAAAAAATCTAGAAAATTCACTCCTATTTCATCAATATATTAGAGAAGTTGAGATTTACACACACAGAATATGTACATATGCAATTCCTCACCAATACTGTGGAAATGCCCTCTGTTCATCTAGGACTGTATGAAAGACAACACAAAAGTTAATGGATTAAAACAGCACGATCAGGTCTTCATTCACACATTTGCGATTGGGACATGGCTCCCTCCACAGGCATCGGAGGAGAGGTGCTACTGGGATCTGAAAACCTCATGGCCCAGATGCTTGTGCACAGGAAGAGGGGGTGCTGGGCTGGCTCAGTGGGAGCTCTGACAGGCTGAGGGATGAGACCCTGTGATGCACCGAGGCCAGGTCATGCCAGCTCATGACACAGAAGATAGGTGTGACAACTTTTATCCCACTCAGAGTTAGGAGGATTTGAACCAGAGAGATTTACAAACACTGCATATCAGAGTTTTCTTTTTCCTAGAAAGCTGGTTGCTCTCTGTTCTCTAGCTCGTCCTTGAAACTGGGCTCAGTTCCTCTCCTTTTGCAATGCTTAGACTTCCTCCAAGCATGGTATCTGGGCATCAAAGGCACTAGCAATCTTAGTATATGTGGGGAGCTGGAAAAAAAATACTGTACACCAGATAACTTATAAACAACAGAAATATATTTCTCAGTGTTCTTGAGGCTGAGAAGTCCAAATCATGGTGCCAACAGATTTGGTGTCTGGTGAGGACCAGTTTTTCGTTTCATAGGTGGCACCTTCTCACTGCTTCCTCACCTGAGGAAAGGAATGAAGGAGCTCTCTGTGACCTCTCCTCAGGGGCATTAATCCTATTCATGAGGACTGCACCCTCCTGACCTCATCATCCCCCAGAAAGCCCCACCTTTTCGTGCTATCACCTGGGGTAGGGATTTTAACATATGAATTTCAGAGGGACAAAAACATTCAGCCTGCAGCACCATCCAATACAGAGGAAGCAAAAGATAAAAACTTCTTATGACTTGAACCCAGCAAATGGCATGGTGCAAAGTCAGCCGTGTTCTACTGGTCAAGATGTCACCCAAGCTAGATTCAACAGGAGAGAATTTCACCTCCATTCTTATGTGAAAAGAGTCAGGGATTTAGAGCCACTTTTTAAAACAGTTCAAGGAAGTTATTCCTTCATGGTTTATTGTAAAATTGCTGTAGATGACAACACCAGATACATAGACAACCTGTGAGAGGCAGCTGGAAAAGTTGGACAAACTGCAGGGAACTTGGAGTTCCTGCATGTCCCAGCTGGATCTGCAGGCCCGGGAGTCTCTGTGTGGCACTGGCAGCACCAGGACCCTCCCTGCAGGATGGTGGACAAAGAACTGAGGGCAGGGACAGGGAGGTGCACTGTGAGAAGCTGGAAAGTCATGGTCCTCCTCAGATCTCACCCCAATGCAACCCCGCCCTGACCCACACTAACACACACACCGTGTTCCACGACTGCCCTTCCCCACTGGGTCCAAACCATGTCCCAGGCGCCTGCACAAGGTCCACACACACTGTGTCTGCTGGGGCCACTGGACAGCCTCAGCGTGTGTGGGAATATCCTTGCTGCTCCTGGAGGCCTCTCTCCTCTCACGCCCACACCTGCACCCTCAGCAACAGCTTCTCCAGAATATTTGCTCCAACCTGATGATGACAAGGCTCTTATGGAGAGTTCAGACTCACTTCAATATTCCCTGGAAATTCAAAAGCGTGTGTATGAAAGAGCAGCTTAAGCCATGTCTATTGTCACTGGGTGTTGACACTGGTGGAAAGAATGGGAAAATCGGGCTGCGGGTGGGGACTATGCATAAACATGGAAGAGAAAGTATTGCAAAGGTTTTTAGACAAGACACCTGTTGGTTGAAACTCCAATGTTCTGCTTAGGTTCTAGGGCAGTCCAAAAACAAATGTGAAGGGGACCGCAAGAGAAGAATCTCTGTGAAATTTGGGATGAAAGATTGAAAGCCACTGGACAAGAAACAGGTGCAGCCTCAACACAGGCTGGGAACCCAGTGGGTCCCAGGAATGGAGTGCCATGCACTAGCCTGGAGTACCCACCGCTGCAGCCAAGCCTGGGAGGGAAGGACATCAGGACACCGGGTTAGGGGTGAGGAAGGCAGAACCAGGAGCCACCACTGACTGGGAGCCACTTGCAATGCATTCTGTGCTCCCTGAACTCCTGAAATCATTCCGGGTGCTGCTGGTACGGTAATATAAAGCATATTTTCATATGTTTGTTAGACTCTTGTCCGTCTTTTTTTGAGAAGTATATGTTCATGCCCTGGCACACATTTTAAAGGGGTTATTTCTTTTTTGCTTACTTATTTGTTTAAATCCCTTGTAGAAAAAAATTACTTTGACCACAAGGTCACCACCAAACAGCCTCTCCTTACTGCTACAGGTACGGACCTCGCCATCTCCAGGACATGGCGCTGGCTCACATCCATTACCCAAAACCTTGCCTTACTGTTTCCCTGACCTCATGCTTTGCTGATTACCCCAAAAATGACCTCCTTAGAGTGGGATTCTGCTGAGATCACCATTTGCTTGCAGTATAATCCCATTACTTTATGGTGCAAGGAATCCATAGAGCTTCAGTCAGATTGTAAGGCTGGCCTAGAAGCGATGCAAAAACTATGGACTCAGGAGACCTGTTGTAATAATCCCATGCCCAAATCTAACCAGCTCTCCAGTGATAACCCTCATGCAGTGCTGGGGAAATGCTTGTGGACTGGAGTGTGTTCTGTGCACAGGAAGTAGGTCCAGGTTTCAATTCTACAGAACACAGGGCATTACCAGAACCCAGAGTTCTTCCTCCAGTACATACACACCCCTTCATATTTTGCCCCTATCACCTCATCCTTGGGCCCCTCCAGGCACCTACTAATGCCCCAGAAACTAAAACCATCACCAGGGCCTCAGTCTCCCTAAGCAG